TTTCATAAGTTGTAAGAGTGTAAGATTTGTCAGGTTCAGTTAATTCCTAATGTGTGAACACTTATGTAACAGAGAAATATGGTTTGAAAGTAAAATTAGGTGGGAGTGAAGTAGGAAAGAAGTCTAAGGCAGTCCACATTTTTCTGTTCCCCATCCCCTGCCCGCCCTATATTATCATTCTGACATGAAATAATCAAAAGTTTTCTTATCTCAATTTTCCCTGCCACTGTGGAAATATATGCCCCCAATGTGATAAAAAATACTTGTTGCGCACTCGTAAAAATTCAGGTCAGTTTTATCTTTCTTCAGCTATATTAATTAAATAGTCGTTTCCCACGATTGTTGATATTAATACAAGTATGCAGGGACTTGGAAGGGGAGGGGTCAGGAGTTGGTTGCACTTATATATTTGCACTTAAGTAAAGCTTTTAAAAAGTGTTATGTATAGGACATTTCTTATTGGCGCATCAGTGACAAAACAATGTCTGATCCAGTCCCTTAGTGTTACTTGTACCTTATGTTCCTCGTGTTTTGTGAGGTGAAGAATTGACATGTATTTGCATGTGTTTGTGATGTGCCACCGGTGGGGCAGGATACGCTCACCCTTTCGCGAAAACCTGGTATCATCACTATTTCATGAGTTGTAGGCGCTGCTCATGATATAGTCAGAATTGTGCAATGGACTCTGATTTTAGTGAGAATTTCTTGTAAATGTGGCAAGGGTTTTGTCGCTTTTATTAACATTTATATAGAATATGTAAAGCCCCTTGAATTCACCAAATAATATTAAACTGTGTTCAAATCACCCCTTCACATGCAGACTTTCATATTGTTTTATTTGGGATTACAATTGCTTTATTGTAAAGTACCATTTCTAGTACTTTTGTTGTAGAGTCCCATGCGGGATTCGAACCCATACTCTCAGAGCGAGACACCGAATAGTGACATACATTTGTATTTCACTCTACAGTGTTCTAAACTTTAAAATGCCAAAATAAGTTACACTGTTCGTGAAAAACATTTTATTTTATTTTTTATTATTTTTATTTTTTTGTCCTGACTACCGCTGTCTTCCTGGTTGAGGTTTGACATGAAACACACATAACAAATACGGATTGCCTAAGAAGTAAGTCGGGTTGAGCAGAGGCTTGTTTCTTGTCTGCCTGTAATGTCCTGACCAGTCTGGCAACAACAACTCCCATCATCTGTTGTGTACATGCCTCATCCAGCAGGAAACAGTGATAAGACACACAGACAACTCTTTTGTGGTCTTGTATATACATTTGTTTAGCTTCTCACGATGTGCACCGTATATATGTATCTGCCATAGTGTATGTCTTGGGCCAGGGTGTGATGGTAAATGTTTCCATGTGCATCCATACATGCCTAGAGGAAGTCAAGATAGGTGGAATGGAAATGAATGTCACCAGGAAAATATCTTGTATTGCCTGAAACATTGCAGTGTATTGAGCTTGATTACAAGTTATGAGAACACGTTAAGTCCAGGTGAAGCTTCTCTGCATCCTCAGGCTGGTGACTTGTCAGGAGACAAATGATGTCATGTGTTGCAGCAGTATTTTGGAGAGATGGTGTGCTGTAGTTAAGACAAGTACTGATAACTGTTGTATGTACTGTGTTGGTCAACATTATGTTACGACAGATTTCTGGCTGTTCTTGTGTATTCGATGTGCAAGACTTGTTAAATTATGATACTTTTGAATTAAATACTGACAATTCTGAAAACACTTAATGTTTATTTCCTAGTTATGCACCAACAGGTCCTAAAGTCTGTTTTCAAACATTGGAACTATTGCTGGCATAAAACAACATTCACACATTCACCCACATGCTGATCCTCACTGTGAGGGAACATTGTACTTGATGCATTCAGTACATTGGATTTGGTATTTTTAATCGGCAGATGTACATTGATAGAAACTGGGGAAATTACATGCTAGTACAACTTTTTTTTATCTTGATGGAATCTATTTCATTTCAGAAGTAATCCCTCAGAAAGAAAAATGTCATAAACAAATTACTTCAAACTACATTTTCAATTTTGAATGTAAGGATAGAGTGAAATATATTAATTTGGGATGCCATCTTCTTCCAATGTTTGTGTAATTTGGATGCCTAGAAACACAATAAATATGTTTTATTCAATTTTGGCTTCTACTTTGTATTTATTTGCCCCTTCTTGAAAGGTTTGATTGGCCGGTTTGGGATATAAATGATTACGTTGTCAACAATTTAATTTGTCTCCACAAGAAACTTGTATTGGCGTTTGTTTGAGCACAGTACGAACCTATTGTGATTCCCTGAGCGAGACCCAGGTAATGGAATACTGGCCATAATAGCATTACAGCATTACTTATCAAATTGACATTTTAAGTTACGGAGGATGATGGAGGAAGCTTCATCACAATGACCTTGCCGGGAGTGAGATCTGTTTCGAGTAAATGAGTAATGGCACTTTTACTGTAGTAATATCGAGAGCGCTGTTGCAGTACCATCCACCCTTTTGTGTCTATTAACTGGGCAAAAAATAATGCATTGCAGTTACATGAAAAGTTGCCTATGATTTCTCCCATGGGACCTGTTGGAAATAATTGTGGTCCCCTCTTAGACAATTTCATTCTTGCAGCCATCCTGGGCCAATATCCTGACATGCCACTTAGACTGTTGAGCTGGAAAATCAAGCAAAGTTGATGGAAATTGCTTTGTCAATGACTAGAGGATATTGGAGAACTAGACACATTCTGACACATGTAGACACCTGGAGGGTAGCAATAAGACAGGTGTCTTAGTCGTGGTGCAGATTAATAGGTCATAGTGTGGATCAGGTGTCTCAGTCAGGCACTGGAACAGTTGCGTCAGGCATTATACAAAAGCATAGCAGGTATGGACAAATGTCTAAGTCAAAGAGACAAACATTTGGATCAAGAACCTTTGCCATGAGGGTTGGTTGTCAAGGTCATTGACAGGTGTCTTAGCATCTAAGTTTAGGGTCTCTGGTGTCAGGTGTCTAAGGTGTCATATGGGCACAGGTGTAGCCTTAGCGTCTTGTCAAAGGATGGATATCTACATCTTATGATGGACAATTAGGACATGAGAAAGCATATCTAGGTCATAAGGACAAATATCTAGGTCATTGGGGATGTCTCAGTTTGGGTCAGGTCTCTGGGGCAATATGTAAACCATTTGTATACTCATAGTTCTGTCTGGCCAGGGACAGGCCCCTAAAGTTTGTTTCTGGTCAGAAAATGGTGTACGGTATTAACATTAAGAAAGGTGTCAGTCCCTCTTAGATCATACTCTCGCGCATCAGTACAACACAGATGAACCACAACCTACTTCTCAACTGTAATCTTCCCTGGTGTAAGCTTGTTTGGGGTTTGATAGCAGCCTGTGCACAGGGACAATCACTGGAATAGTCTTTCCTGGTGTTTGTCTTTTAGAGTGCAAGTGATGTGTGTAGAACTTGCAGCCACTTCCAGCTGACAGGCTAATTGGTGGTAGGTGATATTGATTGGGGGTGGGGGGAAGGAGAGGGGGGGGGGCTCTGTAGGTCGTGCCTGTCTTCTGTCACCAAGCTGTCAAGAAGCATCACCATGTACTCTTGTGTGTAGATGAGCCAATTGAAGCTCATTCAGGGTCTAATGTCCTTGGACAGCCAATGTGAAATATTCACCTGACACTGTAAATTAGACTTGCACATGTCTGAAAGGCAAAAACTATTAGTTCAGATCATGGTACATATGTGTACTGATGGTACATGTGTGTACTGATGGTACATGTGTACTGATGGTACATGTGTGTACTGATGGTACAGAGCCCCCCCTGATGGTACATGTGTGTACTGATGGTACATGTGTACTGATGGTACATATGTGTACTGATGGTTCATGTGTGTACTGATGGTACATGTGTGTACTGATGGTACATATGTGTACTGATGGTACATGTGTGTACTGATGGTACAGAGCCCCCCCTGATGGTACATGTGTGTACTGATGGTACATGTATGTACTGATGGTACATGTATGTACTGATGGTACATGTGTGTACTGATGGTACATGTATGTACTGATGGTACATTTGTACTGATGGTACATGTGTGTACTGATGGTACATATATATACTGATGGTACATGTATGTACTGATGGTACATGTGTGTACTGATGGTACATGTATGTACTGATGGTACATGTGTTCTGATGGTACATGTGTGTACTGATGGTACATGTGTGTACTGATGGTACATGTGTGTACTGATGGTACATGTATGTACTGATGGTACATGTGTGTACTGATGGTACATGTATGTACTGATGGTACATGTGTACTCATGGTACATATGTATACACCTGGTACATATGTGTACTGATGGTACATATATATACTGATGGTACATGTGTGTACTGATGGTACATATGTGTACTGATGGAACATATATATACTGATGGTACATATGTGTACTGATGGTACGTATGTGTACTGATGGTACATATGTGTACTCATGGTACATATGTGTACTCATGGTACATATGTATACTCATGGTACATATGTATACTCATGGTACATATGTATACTCATGGTACATATGTATACTCATGGTACGTATATATACTGATGGTACGTATGTGTACTGATGGTACCTATATATACTCATGGTACATATGTGTACTGATGGTACATATATATATACTGATGGTACATATGTATACTGATGGTACATATGTATACTGATGGTACATATATATACTGATGGTACATGTGTGTACTGATGGTACATGTATGTACTGATGGTACATATATATACTGATTGTACATATGTGTACTGATGGTACATATGTATACTGATGGTACCATTACTTATGGTATGCTTCTTACTCAGAGGACACATCATAAATGTCTTGTTTTCTAGGATTTTGTGACAGACATGATGAGCACATGATTATAATGTGACTGTGAGACACCTTGTGTTGTATTTTCCAGGAAGCGATGACACTGCTGGAACCCATGGTCCAAGACCCCATCAACTATGTCCGGCAAGGAGCTCTCATTGCTTCCGCCCTCATCTTGGTCCAACAGAATGAAGTCACATGCCCCAAGGTAAGTAAGTCCCATGGTGAAGCAGAGCCCTGGAGGAGTCACATGAGGTCCCCAGTGGCTGGTCTTGTGTATTGAAGTTGGGGTCAAGCTGTCCGGCTCCATGACTTGTCAGACTGTGTGTCACCATGCTCCAACTTGTTGTGGCTCCACTTGTTGTGGATTGTTGCTTTCAGTCACTGGATTGTCCGATCCAGACTTGATTATTTACAAGCCACCATGGTAAAGCTGGAATATTGCTGACTGTGGCCTTGTTCACCATTCACTCACGTGTGTGAAGGCCAATCTAGTTGTAGAACTATTGCAGTAGTCACCACTACGGAAACAATAATGTTGTATTCAGTGTATATATTTTGCAGTCATCATGTTGTTTCACTTTTTCTGTCTCAACTATCTATAATTGCATTAAAACATCATTTCCATGTTCAATTAGAGTTTTTGAAAGATGCTATTGCATTCATTCTCTTTTTGTCCAAGATCAACCTAATTTGTCTGTAACCATCTCTCAAAAACAATGGAGTGTATACAACCTGACCTGCAGTTCCATATTTGAACATCGCTCATTGGTTTCTTTGCAATCAACAAAGGCAGCTGGGAATGAAGTGTAGCCCAACTTCTTGTTACTCTTATCAGTGACTGGCCATAATGGCAGACAGTAATCAAGGAAGCATTCAGAAAGGAAAAAACAACAAGCAGAGTTTCTTCTAGAGGAATAACTCCAAGTACTTCATGCTTGTAGGAGGCAGACATTGGGACAGAAGTACCATGCAACTATATCTCTATGATAATAGTCATCAATCATTCTAATATCCACTATATTTCATTTGTGTCTCCTGATGAAACTCTGAATTGGTCAACAGAAGTCATTTATGGAAATTTCCCGTTCCTTATCGTTCCTCCAAGGACATGCAGAATGCCAAATATTTCATATGTGAAAAAAGTAAATTTACAGTGATCGACAAATGAGGGATGCAGTTGGAAGATAAGCTATTAAAATGGCACGCTGTCCAATATTCACCACAGTCCACTTTGATCGTTTGTTATAGATTGAGGAATTATTTCCATCAGTTGATCAAGAATATAGAGGATGCTACCATCTACTCAAAGAGACAGTTGGGGAAAGAATATTCAAATGAAACCATATCGGGTCGACCACAACTTGAGGATAAGTAGGTCACAAGAAGCAATTGAATCACATTCAATCGAATGGATTATATGTTTCAAAAATACATTGGGTTGAATGAAAGTTTAGGAGTGTAATCAATTTTGTTCAAATTGCTGTTTTCATAATTCCTCAAACGTTTTACTTGATTGAATTTATTGATGGGAATATAGATGTGAGAATTAATTTAGGATGAAAGTACCTTTTGAAACCTCCAGAGCAGACACACCAACTTATTTTCCCCTCATGACATGAAGTTTGGAGCAAAGCATTATCAGGCAGACGGATTGTGTGTTTGACACTTTAGACGCATTTGCTATATGTAACCGATGTTGCGGAAAATTGCTGTAATGTAGGTCTCGGTTTTAATGAGAGATGTTATCCTTCAATTTAGCGCAGCTTGAGACGTAATCGGCACGCTATCTGGGTGCTAGACGCTTTGATCCCCTGTCAGTCTGAACTGGACCCACCTTCAGCCTCTCAACGTTATATCCTAAACATCTTTTAAATACAATGATTATTTCATATCTTTTAGTCCTGAGATCTGCACAGCTAATGCTGCCCAAACTTAGCCTGTTGAAGAATACCTTGCATCAACATTTGGGCATCCAATGAAGGAAGATGACCAGATGGTATAATGCTAGGAGATTGTTCCTACATGTTTGGTGGCAGATGTGCAAACTGTGGTCAAGTGTTGACCTGCTGTAGTTAACATATACTTATTATACTAGGTTTTAGCTGTGGTTTCTGCTAACTAGTGTTTGTAACAAAAACGGTGGTGAGACATCAAGGATGTGAGCAATGGGGGTTTAGTCAGGCTTTAGTTGGGTAAGGTTTTAAGCAGGCAGTCACTGCATACCTTATATGTGCTGATGGTACATGTGTCCCAAGTTGTCCCAGAACAGAACATCTCAGGGAACCATTCATTCATCATTGTCGTCCTCATCTTCATTTCTGTTGTTTGGACAAGGATTGGTACAGAGATGACGATGACATCACCGCCAAGTTGTCCCAGAACAGAACATCTCAGGGAACCATTCATTCATCATTGTCGTCCTCATCTTCATTTCTGTTGTTTGGACAAGGATTGGTACAGAGATGACGATGACATCACCGCCAAGTTGTCCCAGAACAGAACATCTCAGGGAACCATTCATTCATCATTGTCGTCCTCATCTTCATTTCTGTTGTTTGGACAAGGATTGGTGCTTAGGAACTAACATGCCTTGTAGTTCCCACAGCTGAAATTTCATGCACTTCTTCTTGCATCAGTCCAGAAAGAATTTGCCGTTATTAGGAGAGTTGACAATATGCCATACTTTCATTGACATGTCGGTGGTTTTCAGGAAAGGAATAGCTAGGTCCTCAGAACCCAATTCTTGTAAGATGTGTGACCTGGCTGATTGTGTGTCATTGTATCCATGATAGCGGTGATCATTGCTTGTGCTGTCGACCCCTGGTTTGTCTGATCCAGAAATGTAATATATATGTAAAGGCTGTTGTGATAGGATTGTGAAATGATTGACTGTGATGTAAAACAACATTCACTCCCATGTTTTATGCTCGTATTTAGCGGTGGGGACTACTACCCCCTGTTTGTTGTATGTGCTTACTGAAGTGGGTCAGCATGAGGACAACACAGCATCTGTTCTGGTGGTATTTGTGACACTACCCCCTGTTTGTTGTATGTGGTAACCGAAGTGGGTCAGCATGAGGACTACAGCATCTGTTCTGGTGGTATTTGTGACACTACCCCCTGTTTGTTGTATGTGCTTACTGAAGTGGGTCAGCATGAGGACCACAGCATCTGTTCTGGTGGTATTTGTGACACTACCCCCTGTTTGTTGTATGTGCTTACTGAAGTGGGTCAGCATGAGGACAACAGCATCTGTTCTGGTGGTATTTGTGACACTACCCCCTGTTTGTTGTATGTGCTTACTGAAGTGGGTCAGCATGAGGACTACAGCATCTGTTCTGGTGGTATTTGTGACACTACCCCCTGTTTGTTGTATGTGGTAACCGAAGTGGGTCAGCATGAGGACAACACAGCATCTGTTCTGGTGGTATTTGTGACACTACCCCCTGTTTGTTGTATGTGCTTACTGAAGTGGGTCAGCATGAGGACAACACAGCATCTGTTCTGGTGGTATTTGTGACACTACCCCCTGTTTGTTGTATGTGGTTACGGAAGTGGGTCAGCATGAGGACCACAGCATCTGTTCTGGTGGTATTTGTGACACTACCCCCTGTTTGTTGTATGTGGTTACGGAAGTGGGTCAGCATGAGGACAACAGCATCTGTTCTGGTGGTATTTGTGACACTACCCCCTGTTTGTTGTATGTGGTTACTGAAGTGGGTCAGCATGAGGACTACAGCATCTGTTCTGGTGGTATTTGTGACACTACCCCCTGTTTGTTGTATGTGCTTACTGAAGTGGGTCAGCATGAGGACAACACAGCATCTGTTCTGGTGGTATTTGTGACACTACCCCCTGTTTGTTGTATGTGGTTACGGAAGTGGGTCAGCATGAGGACCACAGCATCTGTTCTGGTGGTATTTGTGACACTACCCCCTGTTTGTTGTATGTGGTTACGGAAGTGGGTCAGCATGAGGACAACAGCATCTGTTCTGGTGGTATTTGTGACACTACCCCCTGTTTGTTGTATGTGGTTACTGAAGTGGGTCAGCATGAGGACTACAGCATCTGTTCTGGTGGTATTTGTGACACTACCCCCTGTTTGTTGTATGTGCTTACTGAAGTGGGTCAGCATGAGGACTACAGCATCTGTTCTGGTGGTATTTGTGACACTACCCCCTGTTTGTTGTATGTGGTAACTGAAGTGGGTCAGCATGAGGACAAGACAGCATCTGTTCTGGTGGTATTTGTGACACTACCCCCTGTTTGTTGTATGTGGTTACTGTAGTGGGTCACCATGAGGAAAACAGCATCTGTTCTGGCGGTATTTGTGACACTACCCCAGCAGCATTGATTTCTGCTCCTATGAGTACACAGGTTCATTATATTCTCACACACTGAAGGTGCTTTGATGTATGCTGAAGACACACCATCTCCAGTCTGAAACCTCACCTATGAGACACAAATCTAATGAAATTGCTTTTTGGTGAAAACATCTTGAGATAAGTTCCGTCCAGTAGACTCCAACAGTTTGGCACAGACTGAAACACCCTCCCTCATGTGTCTTCAGTACATACTAAAGACACAGGATCATACATCCAGTTAAAATCCCTATGGTTTGCTGGTACTTGAGGATGATGGGATAGTATGTGGTAACAGAGAAAACTGTCCAGTTTACGTCTTTAATCAACACCACAGTTCGTATCTGTTTGATGGTATGTCTGCTTCTGAAAAGTCTATCACATCTTGGTTGGTTACAAAGGAAGTCTCTTAGTTACCTGCTGCTACCTTCCAAGTAATTGGCCAAATTTATGAGGCTCTCAATTGTTCTCCTCTCCTTGAACTTGACTTGAACTTTTTTCATTTCTTTTAGATCATAAATTGATCTTGTGACCATCTGTCTTGCCAACAAATCAAGCAGGCTCAAAGTATCTGCTAATAGTCAGTTCCTTTCATTAATGGCCTAAGCCTCGGCAGGAAAAGCCCCAGAAAAAAACTGGCAACTACTGAAGAGAACAGAAAGATGGTTCTCGTGCAGCTTGTTGGCTGTAGCGTGGACATTAAGTAATCAGCACCTTCTGAGAAATGTGAGGTCCAGTGAAAGTCAGCAGGGATAACATCTGCCTGCTTCACAGGAATACAACCTGATGTGTTTGTTGTAAATGACTTGCAACCTAAGCTACCAATGTAAAGGGACTATTTGTTATTGTTTGTTCCCCCTCCTCACATTCCAGCTGTATTGTGGACAAACACTAGGATATTCTGCTGAAAGTAGTTTTTATTGGGAAGTAATATTTCATCCTCAGTTTAAGTGTTTGTCAAGTGTCTACAGTAACTGGCCGTTTACCCAGTCAGGGTATATCCTGTACTTGTATGTTAGTTAATCTAACACCAAGGGTGGCCGCGTCTAAGGCACTTCACTTGTTCAGGGCAAATTGCCACATGGGGATTCTGGATTTCTGAAGGCCCACCGCGGTCCAGGATGAGAAATAGAAGTTGTATGTCTTCGTACCCTGGCTGTTCATTGCTGCTTGTAATATCAATCACTGGTTTGTCTGGCCCAAACATTTCTTGGTTCCTGTCATTTACTCGGTTGCTGGAATATTGCTACGAAGAGCATTAAGCAACGAACAAATGAAAGGTTTTCAGACTGGAGCTGGTTGCAGCTTCAAATGTTTGTCATCATACGCTGTGTCAAACTTATTCTAAAAAATAGGTCTTATGTCTTTGAATTTAGTGATCAGCGCCATAGAGACTTCCGTCCACTGACTCCTGGAGGATAGATCCTGTCACATGGTTGTACACACTCCATGGAAAAATAGGATCAGTGCATAATTACCTGTGTCATTTCAGTGCATATTGCAATTGTTTTAAATTCAAATTGATTTTCACTACACATGGATGATTGGCTAGAATTGAGTACAATGCTACCACACATAGAAGTGAATTCCATCAAAGCTAGTGACTTTGATGAAGTATAAAATCTGATACAAAATAACCTTCATCACCGAGGATGGACCAGCAGGACCAATTTACCAGTGTCACCCTCAACATTCCAAGGAAACTAGTTATGCATGCAATTTGACCTGGATTACTTATTCCAATCCATATCAAACACATCTAAAGCAGACTACACTGCTATAGATCAGTAGTCATTGTGCTAATGAGCTCGTTTTCTGGAATTTGTTACGAGGGACCCGCCTAAACCCAACCAAATTGGGTGAGATCCTTCACTTAGCTAAGAATATCTCATCTACTGCTAAAACAATAATTTGTGATTTGGAACCTGATTTGGAATGCTGATCGCTCATCACTCAAAGAGTATTACCATTAGTGATTCACCAGCTGCATAGTTTTATTGACTGTGTCTTTTGATGACCGTGATCTTACCAACTATTGAGAAAAACCAACACTCTAAATTCCAATAATTTTTGCCCTGTTGACTCGCAAGATGCAATTTTAGGTTTGATAAATTCACGATGGTGAATATGACATTGATTATTGGAAATAGTGGGAAGAAGGTTTGTAGCTGTTTTACTTCAGTAAACTATCAACAATGGTTTGTCTCCGCTGTCAAATTTGCAAAACCACTTTCGGATCATTTTCAGCCAGATTACCTCTCTCCCCAATGTTGGACAAGTTAATGGGCAGCTCATTCATCAAGCAGTTATACCTCGTCCTGATTTCATCAGCAATATCGTTGCTCACACATTTCATAGAACACCTATAAGGCAAAGAGTTTCTGGGAATCAATTTTATGCTGATGTCTTGAGATGCATACATAACACAATTTTGGATGCTAATGATATATTTATTGGAAATGTCACTTCAGGTAGTATGATTGATGTGTGATATTGGTGCAGCATATATTGTTTCACCTTTGGCTGACTGAACAATGCTAAAAATACTACAAGTGTTATATATCAGGTACTTCTTGGGTGGATGTAATATGAGGTTAAAAGCTTGCCGATTCCGGAAATAATTCTATAGCGTTATTACCTTTTTGACTGATAATTAATGGACGAAAATGTGTTTGTGGATAATAATTTAAGCATCTGGAAAATGTTTGTTTCTTTCATCCCCTCAATCAATTAATAGTTTTAAGAATTTGTTTTCCATAATTTAAGAAAAACTGAAGAAACAAAACTTTTGTATTTGATTTGTTCAGCATTTTTCTTCATTGGAATTACTGGGGCACTGCAATATTAGATAACTGACAAAACTGAAAAAATTGCTTCTGTGTTGTCTAATCAAGTAGGCAACACATGCTCAGGATATGCAGTAGGCAACACATGGTCAGGATATCCAGTAGGCAACACATGGTCAGGATATCCAGTAGGCAACACATGGTCAGGATATCCAGTAGGCAACACATGGTCAGGATATGGAGTAGGCAACACATGGTCAGGATATGGAGTAGGCAACACATGGTCAGGATATGGAGTAGGCAACACATGGTCGGGATATGGAGTAGGCAACACATGGTCAGGATATCCAGTAGGCAACACATGGTCAGGATATGGAGTAGGCAACACATGGTCAGGATATCCAGTAGGCAACACATGGTCAGGATATCCAGTAGGCAACACATGGTCAGGATATCCAGTAGCCAACACATGCTCAGGATATCCAGTAGGCAACACATGGTCAGGATATCCAGTAGGCAACACATGGTCAGGATATCCAGTAGCCAACACATGGTCAGGATATCCAGTAGGCAACACATGGTCAGGATATCCAGCAGGCAACACATGGTCAGGATATCCAGTAGGCAACACATGGTCAGGATATCCAGTAGGCAACACATGGTCAGGATATGGAGTAGGCAACACATGGTCAGGATATCCAGTAGGCAACACATGGTCGGGATATGAAGTAGCCAACACATGGTCGGGATATCCAGTAGGCAACACATGGTCAGGATATGGAGTAGGCAACACATGGTCAGGATATCCAGTAGGCAACACATGGTCAGGATATCCAGTAGCCAACACATGGTCAGGATATCCAGGATGTACTGTCAGTCTGTTCAGTAGGTGTGGGAATGGTTGCAATAACGAATGCATAGCATTGTATAAGGGGTGTCTCACATGATCATTGTTTACATTTGAAATATGTTTCTGTGTATTTTAGGTGACCCATTTCCGGCAGCTGTATGCGAAAGTGATCAGTGACAAGCATGAAGATGTCATGGCTAAGTTTGGTGCCATCTTGGCCCAAGGAATAATTGATGCAGGTGAGATTTTGTTTGGTCATAATAAAGCCTTTGCAATGTTTTGTGAACCATATGACTTCCAAGTGAAGGTGAGCTACCAACCCCTGGTACCAAGGTGGTGATTGAAGAAGGTGAGCTACCAACCCCTGGTACCAAGGTGGTGATTGAAGAAGGTGAGCTACCAACCCCTGCTACCAAGGTGGTGATTGAAGAAGGTGAGCTACCAACCCCTTGTACCAAGGTGGTGTTTGAAGAAGGTGAGCTACCAACCCCTGGTACCAAGGTGGTGATTGAAGAAGGTGAGCTACCAACCCCTGGTACCAAGGTGGTGATTGAAGAAGGTGAGCTACCAACCCCTGGTACCAAGGTGGTGATTGAAGAAGGTGAGCTACCAACCCCTGGTACCATGGTGGTGATTGAAGAAGGTGAGCTACCAACCCCTGGTACCAAGGTGGTGATTGAAGAAGGTGAGCTACCAACCCCTGGTACCAAGGTGGTGATTGAAGAAGGTGAGCTACCAACCCCTGCTACCAAGGTGGTGAATGAAGAAGGTGAGCTACCAACCCCTGGTACCATGGTGGTGATTGAAGAAGGTGAGCTACCAACCCTTGGTACCAAGGTGGTGATTGAAGAAGGTGAGCTACCAACCCCTGGTACCAAGGTGGTGATTGAAGAAGGTGAGCTACCAACCCCTGCTACCAAGGTGGTGAATGAAGAAGGTGAGCTACCAACCCCTGGTACCATGGTGGTGATTGAAGAAGGTGAGCTACCAACCCCTGGTACCATGGTGGTGATTGAAGAAGGTGAGCTACCAACCCCTGGTACCATGGTGGTGATTGAAGAAGGTGAGCTACCAACCCCTGGTACCAAGGTGGTGATTGAAGAAGGTGAGCTACCAACCCCTGGTACCATGGTCCTGGAACATTCAATGAGACAAGGATGTATGAAGTACTTGTGAGAAAGCTATTATACAATTTTTACAGGAATTTAGAGAAAACTTTGTGATTATTTTATGAGAGTGCTTAGAGCGTGGTTTGACGCTCGTAACCCATTTTGAAGACGTCATTAAAGAAACATTATTAAAATTAATGCTGCCTTTTCCCAAGTTACATTCTCGTTCATGAAGCTTTTATGCGAGCTAATATTTCTGTACATGGGTTCTGCCTCAACTCTGTGCTTCCCATTGAGTCTGCATGGTTGGAGGGTGTCAGGGACACTTTCATCTTGCTTGGCTGATAATTCATTTTCGTTTTGCCTCCGTGGCAACGTGCATTGTTCAAACATAAAATTAGCAGTCAATATTTGGCCTAAACAGTACCAGACAATGAGTAGCCCATGTCTATGTTGTGACGATTGGCCCCGACAAAGATTGCCCCCCCTGGCATACACCCCCAACCCCCACCACTCTCTCCCATTGAGGATGTGAGTGTTTACTGGACTCTCAACATAAATTTCTGGCATCAGAGAGCTACTTCCTGCTAATTATTGTATCACCACCAGGGTATTCCTTTAATCGTTCCTCTAAGAGTTTTATCTCAATACACTTCAAACTCCATCAACTGCCAACACCCACATATATTTACCAATCAAATGAAAGATTTTTTCCTGATACAGGTTATTTCAAATTCATGTTTTACAGCCAATTCGGGCTTTCAAGTTATGAATCGTTGGTTTGGGTTGGAAAGTTGAATGCACCACCTGTTTGTGCACTACTCAGGAACTGATTATGCTGTATTTATTTTGATTGCTTTCATGAAGAAGGCATTGACATCTGTGCTTCATGCCATATGGCTTATTAGATTATGGCCAAGGGGTTTTCCTTGCAGGATCTTCATAAGTAGGCCTGGTGTTGTGTTGTGTTGTGTTGTGTTGTGTTGTGTTGTGTTGTGCCATCTCTTAGCTGCAGTCCTATTGCATGCATTACACCTTTGTCAAGTTTAAGTGTCAGCTTTATTCTGCTGAATGCAAACAGCAAGTTTGTGTTTCTGCCTAAGAAGCATGGCATTCATATTTAACTGGTGAAAATAATTGAGATCACAACACAAATTTCAAAACTTAAAGTTAGTGTTAGAATAGCACCAGCTGATTTTTATCACAGCCGTTTGTAATAAATCATGTGTTGGAAAACAGACAGAAATTAGACGGTGGTTTTCATTGCCCAAACCTGATTTGGTTCTTTTGACAGATGATGTTTGAAGATTTTCTTGTTAAAACATGAAAAAGGGAATATGGACATTATTATTATGTAATGTCAATATTGCAGTTTTTGTAGTTTCATCTGGTTGTGCGTAGTATCACCTTTGGAGCAGAACTGAAAGAAGTCATTTGAAAAAGATATGAGCAGGATTGGCTCAGTTAGATACACTGGTGTATTTGGATAGATTTCTTTTTTGAAAGTTCTGAAGTTAGTGTTCTTGGAGTGTATTGATTAGAAGTATTTCCTAAACACTTGCTTTGAAAGAAGACACATTTTTTGTTATGTTTTTCCGTCAGGAAATTGATCTTCCTTTTTCCCCAGTGTTTTTGATGTTTGATGGGATGGCACTTCAGGTTTCCTGGAACAATCTCTTGTTGGAAGCTGTATAGAATCTAATCTGGAAATACGTTTCGGACAAATTTGTGAATGTGGAAACACTGCAAAAGTATTATCTTCATCAGTGGTTGGTCTGACTGCTAGAGTTGTTTATCATTTACCTTTCAACCTTGGGAGCATATATAGATCTTGACTTATATTTATTGTTTCTGATTTGAACATTTATGTGGTTACATGCGTTACCTTAGCTCTTCCCAGACAGGATTTCGCAAACATTCAAGATATCTTCCCAGATTTATGTGCTGGAATCTTATTGAACCTATGTCTTCTCTGCCAAATAATGGTTTTAAAAATAGGAATGTTTGCTATTAAGTGCCCATGATCATTTCTGAAGCAACTTATTACTGGGAGAGGGGGCACAGGTGGCCCGGTCGTCTAAGGTGCCGCGATTCGCTGTGCAGAGTTGCGTCCCTTGGACATGCCAGGAACCTATGATTGTGGGTTCGAATCCTGGTTCGCCCCGATTATGTTTCTAGGTTTGTCAGCACCATACGCAAGCTCGTGGGTTTCACCAAAGTGGTAAATGTCTGAGACCTGCATCACTTCAGGCTTTCCTCCCACATTAAGCTGACACGCCACGATATAACTGGGACTCACTACTCCTGGGAGAGATATGCTGATTGTCTCAAGTTGCAGTTTGCTTTTCTACTTGTCCTTCAGTGGAGTCAGTGTGGCAAGGGAGGGTTTCATTTACAACTGATTGGTGTGTTGCATGGATTCGTGAAGAAAGTTTAGTTATCCACTGAGACTATATGGCCCAATGGTCAGTGTTGTATGACAAACACAGATTTCAGCAACAGAACATGTCTTTTACATCAACAACAACTTGAAAGGCCAACATTCTGGCCATTGATCTGGTACCTCTTTCCCCTTTCTGCATGTCTATCACTGGAATTGGAAGAGTTGACATTTGCTGCAGATTGTTCAGGAACTGGGAAAGATGACAAATATGATGGAATTTACTTTGTTTTGATTGCTATGTGTCGTCTATTTTAGGAGAGCTTCTGACTGAAATCAGCTCTCTGCCTTTCATGCTTGGGTATTCAGGGTCATATCAGACAGTCTAGTTCAATTCATAATTGCTATGCATCTTACTTATGTTTTATGAATAACGTTGATGACAGTGTAACCCCTTGATGCTTCAAGGGTGACATGAGCCCCAAGGTCGTAAGAGCATTCTATTGAGGATGGGTGGGTATTCTGTGTGACCTGGATGATTGTCAGTTATCATGCCCTGACAACCTGGATTGTTGTTGCTTATGATATCGACCATTGTTTTGCCTTGCCCAGACTTGATTATTTACAGTCATTGTTATTAGTGCTGGAATTGGTTGGGAACTGATCATTGATCATTGGTCATTATCTGTTTATTGCAAGCAATCAGTTATTGATTTTGAAAATTTCCATGAAAGAGTATTGAAAAGATTCAAATAGAATTTCAAGAATCTGTTTCTACACAGAACAATGGATGGATAGAACGTTTTTAACATGATTTGATATGAAATAGCATTTTGTCAAATATTTTCTGGATTTAGTGGACACTTAAAGCAATCATGTAACTAGTGGTACAGAGCTGGAAAATAGGTGGCAGCAACATAAAACAACATTCACGCACTGCCTTGCTGTCAGTACATTGAAGCCTGTGTTACCAGCTCTGTTGGGATTCCGGGTTGGAATTGGTTGCCAGAAAACTCAGCTTGTAGTAAGTGGTGACTTATGAATTGGCTGGCCTGCTCCGTGAACTGATTGATTTCATTTCATCATCACCCCATGGCATGGCGTGTTGATCATGATGTCAATCACTGGATTGCCTGGTGTAAACCCGATTATTTACAGGCTCCATCATATAGTTAGAATATTGCAGATTGCGGCGTGAAAGAACACAAACAACATCGTGTTTGGAGTGTCCGCTACATCTGTGAAGTTGCCACTGCACAAAATACACACGACCTGTTGCAGTTGTACAAAACATGTGTCGGGCTGTAATTGGCTTTGACGTAGAAAGTAAATTTGCATGAATAAAACATGTGTATCATTTTGTGCTGCATCACAGTGAGTCTTGCGCAAATTGCAAGATCTCTCATTAGATATGCATTGCAGGTCCATCCAAATATATCTTATTGTTGCCATATCTATTTTATTACTTGTTTTGTAGGTAAGTCTAAAATTACGTAAACTGAAAAAAACCAACCCAAAATTTTCTAATTTCTAAAACATCTTTTTTGTTTGCATTTATGTGGTAGCCTTTATGTAATTGTTCTTCTTAAGAACTTAAATGAACCTTCATATTTTTTATCCTTGGAATTTTGTGTCCTGCCTCTGAGCCTGAAGGGGCGGTGGGGTAGCCTAGTGGTTAAAGCGTTCACTCCTCACGCTGAAGACCCGGGTACAATTGCCGACATGGGTACAATGTGTGAAGCCCATTTCT